TGTGATTGGTTAGCTGGGCCAGTGTGTGTTGTGATTGGTTAGCTGGGCCAGTGTGTGTTGTGATTGGTTAGCTGGGCCAGTGTGTGTTGTGATTGGTTAGCTGGGCCAGTGTGTGTTGTGATTGGTTAGCTGGGCCAGTGTGTGTTGTGATTGGTTAGCTGGGCCAGTGTGTGTTGTGATTGGTTAGCTGGGCCAGTGTGTGTTGTGATTGGTTAGCTGGGCCAGTGTGTGTTGTGATTGGTTAGCTGGGCCAGTGTGTGTTGTGATTGGTTAGCTGGGCCAGTGTGTGTTGTGATTGGTTAGCTGGGCCAGTGTGTGTTGTGATTGGTTAGCTGGGCCAGTGTGTGTTGTGATTGGTTAGCTGGGCCAGTGTGTGTTGTGATTGGTTAGCTGGGCCAGTGTGTGTTGTGATTGGTTAGCTGGGCCAGTGTGTGTTGTGATTGGTTAGCTGGGTCAGTGTGTGCTGTGGGCCAGTGTGTGTTGTGATTGGTTAGCTGGGCCAGTGTGTGCTGTGATTGGTTAGCTGGGCCAGTATGTGCTGTGATTGGTTAGCTGGGCCAGTGTGTGTTGTGATTGGCAGCACTCGGCGCCTGGTCAGAAAATGTCATGCCCCCCTTACCACAGCCGCCTGCGAGCTTCAGTGTAAATATTGCGTCAATATCAAATCAATTTGAGCGCGATTTAAACCCTGATGATTGTAACCACTCTAAGTTTGTCTGGCTTGGGAAAGCTAGCGTATCTCCGACATAGTGATAACACTCGTTGCCTTCTCTAGTGCAGCTCAACCAGGTCTCGTCCCATTCGTCGGTATTTGTGATATCACAAATCCCGGAAAATATGCGTTGTAGTCCAAACGAGTCGTTCGTTGTAGTTTTTGAAAAGTGATTTCTGTTAAATAAAATATCTCCTTTTGAATTGGACTTTGAGCTTTGTAACTTTGCAGATCTTTTTTATGCTCAAACAGCAACATTACAGACTAACTAAAGTTGAAAAAGTGAAAAAGCATAATAGAACCCCTTTAACATTCATGTTTTTGAAATGCATATAAATTTTCCATCCATTTTTATTACACAGTTTTAAATTAAAAAAGTAAGATTTCTGTAATAGTATGTTTTAAAGGTTTATATATTTTACATCAATAAATTATTTTCAATCTCATATATTTCAAATATATGAATAATGCTTGTTCCCCAGCTAGCCATATTTAACCGTGTTCATACTATTTAGCTGAATACATTTGTTTTTGCTGTGAACATATTTATGCTGATTCTAAGCAATTTGAATAAATGCATTTTGAAAATATGATTAATTAAATAAAATTAAATAGATTTATATAACGTTGAGAATATTGAGTGCAGAAATCTTCCTTTCTTGTATGATTGGCAAATATGCATCACATATTTGATTTTAATTGTTCATTATTTTGTTAAAACTGCAATCCAAATGGATGGAATGTGCAATTCAAATACATATATCTTAAATGTAGGCCTAAATGCTTTTATTTATTTAGTTAGTTAGTTAGTGACATACCAAGTAAATAAATTGAGTTGTAATTTATTTCCTTTATTAACACATGCTTGAACTTGCTGACTGAGGCTGAGTTGCATCTTATAGTCCACTAGAGAGTGCCATTGGACCAGGAAAGAAAGATGTGTGCATAATAGAGTGACATATTTTTGTATGTTAGCATCACCCTGGTTCCTTCAACAAAAACCCAATAGTTTTGGCGTATGGATTATTGCAGAAAATAAACACTGTGACCAACAAAGGTTTATGATTCTTACATGTTTTGTTCATCGTGATGATCTTCACAAATGAACACAACTTTTATGAATTTTGAAGCCTAAATACAATCTCCAAAAGTGAAAGGCTAAACATAGGCTGTAAATGAACTACACCATGGACACATGACTTCAGTGACTTCACCACCATTAAAGGTATAGTTCACCCAAAAGTAAATGATGACAGAAATGTCATTTTTGGGTGAACTATCCTTGTAAGCTTCAGCAAAAAAAAAAAAAAAAAGATTTTCATTGAAGGTTTGAGTTAGAATTAGTAGTTAGAATAGTTTACCTGTTTGGTTTTGTGATGTTTAATGTCCTGGCAACCTCTGTAGTCCCATTTAGACACTTGTCAGCAGCCTTCTTTTTCAACACGTACAAGCTTTAATAAAATCACAAGCTGGTATTACTGATGCATTTTATGTCATAGAATAAAATGTGAAAATATCTTGAGCTTGTGTTAAACAGACCTCATTTCAGACATTTAACCAAAAACCTATTGACTTCAGGATGATAAAAAATCTGCTTTTCTCTTCTCTTTTATAGATCCCACTCATGTTATTGGACTGTATCCAGACCTGCTTCCCTCTGACTACCGCAAACAGCTGCACTACCCCAACCCTCTGCCCACACTGTCTGGAGCCGAGCTGGAGAAAGCCCACCTGGCCCTCATAGACTACCTGACACAGGTATTCACGATTCATCAATTTCATATTGAGTGTTTTTTCAACTTTTTTTCATCTTGTTACAGTTTTCTCTAACATGTTTTTGATAGAAACGCAGTCATTTAGTGAAGCAGCTGAATGACTCGGACCCCTTCACCACCTCCCCTCTCATGGAGGGGACCCCCACGATCAAGAGCCGCAAGAAGCTCCTTCAGATCATCGACACCACTCTGCTTAAATGTTACCTCCACGTAAGGCCTTCAGATCGTTCTCTTACAAAATATTTCCATTTCAAATAAAATGCTGTTCTTTTGAAAATTCAGCTTTGATCACAGCAATAAATTACATTTTAAAATATATTTCAATAGAAAACAGTTTTTTTTATTGTTCTAATATTTCACAATGTTACTGTTTGCGTATTTATTTATTTACTTACTTTTTTTTTGAGCAAGTAATTGCAGCCTTGGTGAGCTTAAGAGACTTTATTTAAAAAAGATTTAAAAATCTTGCAAACCTTAGATTTTTGAACTGTTACATACAGTGGGTATAGAAAAGAATCACCCCCCTTTAAAAGAATCACATTTTGTTGCTTTGCAGCCTGAAATAAAGACAGACACAGTTTAACTGTAAACTGTATTTACTCAGTGCAACTTATAACATCCAAGTGAAAGATAGAACACCAACATGTCAGAAAATAAATAAACAGAATCACAGAATGTATCTGTGATAAATTGGATGCTGCAAGATAATTTGTGGCTGCTGCTATGCTAGTACTTTTCTGATAGAATTTACTACAATAAACCAAAGCAAAAGATTATAAGATGTGATTAATTCTTTAGAAAATTGTACCATGAACTCAAAAATATTTTCCTTAAAACTGTTACAAAAATGCAATTTATCTAACATTTTTCAAATTCTCTTTCTTTGTTTTTGAAATGCTTATTGCTCTTAATTGTCCTCAGTAGATTCTCCTAATAGTGTCATTATTTTAACAAGTCAGTCAATCATTACTTTAACAAGTCAGTATGAGAGAGATGAGATATGAATGTATAAGTACTTGGCTATGATGCCTGAAGCTCTTGTCTAAGTAGACAGATCTCTACAGTTACAGCTAGTTTATCTCAATTTACTGTAAAGGTGTGAATGTAGAGAATGGTTTTTGTTTTGTTTTTTACCTGCAGACCAATGTAGCTTTGGTGTCGCCTCTCCTGCGTCTGGAGAACAATCACTGTCACATAGAGGAGAGCGAGTATGTGCTGAAGAAAGCCCACAAATACAGCGAACTCATCATCCTCTATGAGAAAAAAGGCCTTCACCAGAAAGGTGCGCTCAGTCTTCTCAACTCCTGCTTACTGAGAGCATGCTTCTAGATTGTCTTATGAGCGTTTATGTGTCCTTGAGTAATCTCCATTAGGAGCGTAATCTGTGGGGGTGTCCTCAAGCATCTGAATATGATTTGGAGGGCTCCGATCAGCTCTTGTTTACAGAGATGCTCTAATCATGTCCTGGGCTGTTTTGTTGATGTCATGCCTTACAGAAGAGCCGATGAGGACCAGGCCATGTCCATACTGCCTAATAAACCCTGACTGCAGCCAAGCAAACTTATACATTTTTTATATTATATAAACATCACTTTCATGAATATACACAGATTTCTGTTTTATGCATTCATTCTCACACAGTTGTTTTCTATTGTTTTATTAGCAACTAGTAGAAAATGTATTTTTCTTTTTTTGTTTGTCACATTTTGAGTGTGACAACCTGTTTTATTGAGGAAGTCCATACAAACTGAATGATTATTTTCATGAATCGGATGCTGTTTTGCACTGTATGTTCTGTAATAGTGTATGTTGACTATTTATTGTCAGTATATGATTTTACATCACCGGTTTTTCTCTCTGTTGTGACATGCAGTTCAGAACTCACCTAAGGATACATAAACATTTTGTCATGATGCTGCAGATAATAATCTTCCTCATTCAGTTCAGTAGACTTACAGAAGTGTAATTGTCCAGCTTTGCAGGTTCTGCTGGATCAGTCCACTAAAGCCAACTCTCCTCTGAAGGGTCATGAGAGGACTGTACAGTATCTTCAGAGGCTGGGTGAGATGACCACACTCAAGTACTGCATGTATACAATTTAATATAGTCAACACACTGTGTATTAGGATTGTACACATTAAAGCTTAGTATTTATTTAGTATAACTCTTTTGCTTGAAGGTCAAGAAGTGAGCCAGAATCTTAAACATGTTCACAGTCCCACATGACCTCTGCAGCTGCAGAAGTTCAGTAGATTATTTTGCAATATGGCTTAGTGCAATTATCAAATAGCAAAGGCTGCGACTTCAATAAATATATGCACTGCATGTTTCAGAGTGAAGCATGGCACTGTGTTCATTTACAGTTGAGCAGCTCATGATCCATCCATGTTTTCAGCATTTCAGAACGTCATGGTTCGCAGTAAATGCTGCTCCACACAAAATCCATCTGCTCTGAGTTTGGGTCGCTTATAACATGCATTTGTAAACATTCGCCAATCTGCAAAATACAAATTTTATGGTTTAATGTTCGAAAAGAAAAAAGTAAGAGCCATAAATATTAGTATTGTCATTTTACAGTTGCACTGAAAAATAAAATATTCTTAATTTTATATTATTTTTCTTAAATGCTCTTCTTCAGTATGTTATATTTCACAGCGAAATATTACAATAGTATTAGTAGTAATATTTTGTTTTAGTCATTATTTTTAGTAAGAATAGCCATATTGATATATAACTGTTTTTACTAAAAACTAACAATTTTTATCAGAAAACACACAATTATAATCGCAAATAGATATTTTCTCAAATCTTGTAGCCCTACTCCCCCTTTCATTTTGTTTAGTAAATATTCTCACTAATTCGATTATTTCAGCTACCAATAAGAGTGTAGTACTCTCAGCTCCATTTAACATTTTACAATGTTAAAATCTATTTCACTGATTTTTCCCAAAAATGCAATAAATGCAAAAACAGCCAACTGATTCTGATTGATAAGTAACATTCGTCCTTTCTGACTAGTTTAACAATATGTTGATTTGTAAGACAAATGATCCAGCTCATCATTTACATGCATCGGCATCTTTCTGCACAGGTGTGGAGAACCTGGGCATGATATTTGAGTTTTCACCGTGGGTTCTGAAGATTTGTCCAGAGGATGGACTGAAGGTGGGATGAACATAGTCTGGTTGTATTTATATGTACTCTGTTCTTCAGAAGATCTTGAGTTTGGTTTTTCTGCTTTCAGATCTTCACTGAGGACCTGACGGAGGTGGAGACTCTGCCCAGAGATAAAGTGTTGAACTTCCTGAAGGACGGCTTCAAGGAGCTGGCCATCCCGTACCTGGAGCACATCATTTACATGTGGGACGAGACACGCCCCGAGTTCCACAATGTTCTGATCCAGCTCTACCTGGAGAAGGTGCAAGGCCTCATGAAAGTGTACCTCAACTCACTGCCTGAAGGTCAGACACGCAGCTGTGACTCACACTGCTTTATCCGAGCTGCTCTAGGTGTGCTGCTGGTAACAATAATATAATTCCTGCTCAAGAAATACAATAATGATGCAACAGAAAAACACAATCTTGGGACAATTTCTCATTAAAAGTGAAATTCAGAGTCTATATGCAGCAGTATCTGAAACTATACAGAAGTCATGAACACTACAGCATAATCTGTGTTGACTGGTGATGACTAGTAGTTTTTGTTTTTTTTGTGATGCTATTTAGTACAATCATTTTTAATTCTCAGATAGAAGTGCTTCAGACTGTATAGTTATTAGAAAAAATGCATAATCAGTGCAAATTATAAAATAATAGTAGTAATTTTTAGCATTAGGGTAATTTATATACAATGACATCACACAGTAGTTGAAAACATTTTTATGGAGAGAAAAAGGCATTGGCTACTGTGGAAAAATGTGCAGAACCCAAGATATCCAAAAAGCTACAACACTTATATATTAAATTATTCACAGAAGCATAATTATACAATTTCATGTGATGTGTTTGACATGTCAGGTACTTTGACAGATGGATTGTGCTGTTTAAAGCACTTGGCAGATGTCACTTTTTTATGGTTATGTTCTCATCAGTAAATGTTATGAATTCATGTGAGTATTTCAGTTTTTTCTAAAATGCAAGCTAGTTGTGATTGGCTTTATTTTATTGTATTTGTGTGACTACTGTGTAGCTAGTAGAAAATGTATAACACGGCTCTTGCCATGAAAATAGCCTCAGCTTCTAATATGGCATTTAAATTTCTTCTACCTACCTACTTTTAATTAAGCCACCAAAACATTCATTTAATTTTTAAGGAAAGTAAACAAAATTATATTTTCTGACAATTTGCTCTTCACTGGAACTATAAGTTTGAATAAACCCTTTATTAGCGACACAATTGTTCTTTGTGATGGAAATTATAACACAACGGAAAGGGAGTCATAATTTGTGTAAAAATTAATGGTAGTTTATAGGGTGTGGGCTAGAAAGGGTTTTACAAAAAGAAAAAAAACTGAATAATGGATAGCAAAAAACATTTCTGACACAAAGTATCCATAAACATGTCTAAAACGAAAACTTTCTGTCTAGATGAAATAAAGGCCGAACGCGTTGTGTTGACTGTGTCCAGGTGTTCCAGCTGTAGCTGCAGGAAAGGAGGCAGGAGAGCTGGGGGAGTACAGAAACAAGCTTCTGTCATTTCTGGAAGTTTCCAGCAGCTATGAGCCAGAGAGACTCATCAGTGATTTCCCATTTGATGGTGAGTCCACAGGTCAGAGACATTACAATAGAATATAGCTGCAAGCAGCAATGACGGGCCCAAGCCCTTCCGGTGGCATCAAGAAAACAGTGCAGAGCGGGCAATATGCATTTAAACCTCTGGCAGTCTGGTTGTTGAGTCACACCAGTGAAAGGGTTACTTAACAAATACAGTACATACATATAGAGGGTAGGATATATACAACTTTTAATGATCTATAAGAATTTTTAAATGATTTTAATGATCTATAACCATTTGTAAAGTAATTATATAGAACTATATTCACAGTACAGTACATTTCAACTGAATCTATGCATTTATTTGTCATTATAATGGATGGAAACAGACAGGAGAAAGATGAGGCTTAAAATAATTCTTACCCTATGACTCCATCTAGTAGACAATCGTAGTATTACAGCCTTCATTTGTCAGCTGAAATGTCTTGATCGTTTATAATTTGCTGTTAGGCCCCTGAGCATCAGAAATTCATGAAACGAAGCATGTTTCCTCAGAATGACTTGACTTGTTGAACAGTGCACTTTAAAGATAGGTTATAAGACATTTCTTGTTTCCTTTTTTGCTGTTATTTTCATAAATCACCATGGCAACACCGTTTGAGATATCCAAAAAATGTTCACAAGATAGGTTCCTCAGTGTTTTGGCATCATGTTGACAAAGTTTGGTGTAAATCATATGAAAGCATTTGGAGGAGTATAAAGAAGAAGAATTTTAAAGTTTGAAGCGTTGCCATGGCAAGAGTATGTAAGATATCAAGAATCCCTTCACAGTTTTACATCGGCCGTATTTTGACATTATTCTGATGAAGTTTGACGCAAATCGGGTAAAAATAACAGGGTGATTTCACCTCTGAAGTTTGACCAAAATCAGTCAATGAACAAGTTATAACACACTTCCTGTTTCCCTTTTTTTGCCATAAATTTGTCGCCTCATTATGGCCAAACCATTCGAGATATCAAAAATCTCTGCAATTTTGCATCCTCAATGTCTTGAGATCATATTGAGCGAGTTTGGCGGTGATTGGATAAAAACCCTAGAGTGAGTATACCAAAATCCAGAGCATGCGTTTTACAAACAATGCAACATGGCTGACTTCCTGTTGGGCGGAGCACTGACTGTCAGCACGCAAGTTGTTCGGGCTGATGAGATCTATATGTGTATGAATTTTGGTGACTGTGAAACGGTGTGTGCAACAGAGTTTGTCAAAAATGGCCTTATTAAAGGGTGCACCACGGGCCCCCCCGGTGACCTTCTGCCTGGCCCTGATGGCCGCAGATTTCAACGTGTGCAAATTTTCAAGAGTTTTTGAGCATGTTAAGGGCTCTCAAATGCCCTGGATAAATAAATAAATAAATAATTTGTCCTTAGAAAAACAATAGGGCCCTGCGCCCCTAATGGCTTGGGCCCTAAAAATCTAGAACAACAATCACAAATACTGTTCTTGTGCTCCTTCTTCCCCTCCTCTCTCTCGTTCTCTCAGGTCTGTTGGAGGAGAGGGCTCTTCTGCTAGGTCGTATGGGGAAACATGAGCAGGCTCTCTTCATCTACGTTCACATTCTGAAAGACACGCATATGGCTGAAGAGTGAGTGTCGCTCTTTACTCATCCCTAGCCCTGTTCTCCATCACAAAATCAACATGAAATCAAAATGGACACTATTTACATTTTTTAATACACATTCCTTCCCTTATTCATCAGTGTATATTATTCAAAAACATAAATGTTTGTCTATGATGAAAGTCGAATAAGTTGCTCCATTCAGGCTGCACTATTGTTTATGTTTATCAATAGCCAAAAAGTTAAGTGATTGTTTTATGCTGCTTTGGTAGGTAACACAGTAATGTGATGCATAACGTAACTGTAGGCTATTAAAGTTGCAGCAATAATTGCAAATGTCATTGGGGCCATTGGGATACGTGCAGATGCTCTGGAGGGTGAACTTTACATTCAACCTCCAAGTTTCTGTCAAAAAGCTTCTTCAGAAGTCTTCCACTGCAATCCACTACAAACTCTCATTAAAGTCTGACTCCATTCAGATGTGAAACACTCACTTTCAATTCATTCCTATTTCAGTGCATTTCATGTTGACTGTTCCATGAAAGGGAAACTGACTTTGAACTCCATCATTTATACCATTTAGGCTTTTCTCCTGTAATGTTCCTATGTTTAGACTCTGTTCTTTGTGTTCTGATCTTCCTCAGGTACTGCCACGGTCATTATGATCCTTCAGCAAACGGCAATAAAGACGTGAGTGCTGCTTAGTGACTTTTCAGCAGTCTTATTTGAATTGTTTTCATTGTCACATTGTAACTGTACAGTAGAAGTTGTATAGTCACTGCAGTCTGGCTTGTACTATATCTTGTACAATGCAACAGTCCCACAAGGATTTTGTGGGACTTTTTTTCTGCTTTGCTGAAAATACAGAATAATAGCTTGCATACTGTCACTAAATCAGTACCGTATTTATTTACTGACATGGATTATATACTGTACATTTTAAATGTTTTTTATTATTCATGTTTTTACAGTTTAACAGTTATATCATTGTCATTTGTTTTAATATTGCTGTTGCATTTTTTAATTTATATGTAGTTTTATCAGTAATTGCATTCTCTCAAAATATTAAAAAATCAATTAAAAACTGTACTTATTTAAATATAATCTTTATTTAAATGTAAATCTTTAAAATTAGGAAATAAGATAAACATTCAAGCTGTCTGGAGAGACTGAATGCAAAAACATTATAGGGGTCATATGATGCTATTTTCAAAGATCATTTGTGTATTGGTGTTATATAATATGTTAGCATGCTTTAATGTAAAAAAATGCATTATTTTTCCATACTGTACATTATTATAGACCCAGTCTTTCTAAAACACGTCGATTTCTACAAAGCCCCTCCTTCGAAAAGAGCAGTGTGCGCTGATTGGCCAGCTGACTCAGTGCGTTGTGATTGGCCGAACATCTCAAGTGTTGTGTCAGAAATGCAACGACCCTTACCATAATCGCGAGCTTCATCTTCAAACGCAACTATAAAGACAGTTAATAATGTCGTCAGTTTTACCATATCAGTTAGAGCCAGATAGGGCTGCACGATTAATCGAATGCGATTGTCATGCACATTTTGATAGTAATGCCGGTTCTGTAATCAGCAGTAAATCATCATCACGTGCTTTCAGATGGAGCAGAATTTACTACACAG